TGAATTGCACAAAACGCATGATCGCACCGGCTAGTCTGGTGCGCGTTGCCATTTATTTCCTTTTTTCCTTCTTTTTATCTTCACATTATTTTCTCTTTAAATACTACTAATTTTCAAATGTAATTTTTGTGGCCGTGGCCGAATTTTTCTGATATGATTTTACAAATTTTCAGGCAAAATCATTTGAAACAAGGATGTGGCTGGAAGCATTGGAGAAAATTTGCTGTGCGCAACTGTCCGAATTTACAGTTCAAGCTCTGGAATGCTCTGTTGTAAATCTTAACAGTGCGGTCCTATCACTTTCGGTTGGTATCACTCATTTTTACTTGCCAGATTTTCATTTTTTGCACAGCAAAGCAGTTTTTACATGAGTTCTTAATGATGTACTGTTGAAGCCTCAGTACTGCGGGGTATAGTGTTTCTTTCTAAAATCGATGTAGTAAAGGACTCTACTGCATCTGTACCAGAAATATCAAAATCGCGTAGGTCTGCCATATTATTATTATGTACGTACGTACGCATGCACACACACACACTCACACACACACTCACACACATACACTCACACACACACACACACACACACATACATACACCACACACCCAAAGACAGCAGTTGTTCCAGAAATTTCTGAGATTCCGATCTACATTTTGGCACTAGCAGCTTGTTTTTACTGCGCCAAAGCAAATAGATCGATCACTGTTTCTCACTGTTTATACGCATCGAACAGGTTGTGAGTTCTAACTGAAGGTAGGCAGCCTCGAACCAAGGGATCTGGCATAGCTTCATCTATCGCGTCGGTGAATCCGAGTAGCATTGCTAACATGGGGACACTTAAGATTGATTATAGGGCCGATCTTGCTGTATATGTTTTAGTACCTTTTTTTATGCAAAAATGCATTGTTTTTCTGAAAATGTTTAAAAAAATACATCTAGACTTTTAGTCCTAACTGTTCGTGCTTTTTTTTAAAATTTAGCTATGGTTTCGTTTGGTCATGTTTTTAACTGGTATTTTAGTTGTGATTCAAAGAATTTTCGTACTTGTTCATTTAGATATCATTTACACTTTTGCCTTTGATCTCCTAACTCACAAATCTTGATCGTGCCGTTATGCAGTAGTTGAGTTCATTTCGCGCGCTTTGTTTAAGAATCTTGAATTAAAATTTTGGATTTTGGGGCCAACCGCCGGCTGATATTATTTGTTTGTGTATGTGTGTATGTGTTTTTGAGTTCAGTAGCTGATTGGGGGATGCGAATTTCCGCCCCTTGCAGTGCAGCACTTGTAGAAATAAGTAGCAATCTCTTCTTTCCATGGCTGAAAGCTTTGCTGACGGTCCTAGCGTTCATTTTTATGTTTTTCTTTTTCAGTGTTTTTCCTGCATTTTTTTTTTTCCAGACTCCTAGCCGTTCACGACCAGCCCAGTTTATGTTTCCACTACGATTTGCGGAATGCTTGTCCAGTATGTACAGCGCATTGCGTAGCGTCTTAATATCGATAAATACGAATTCGATGTTTTGTCGCAAGAATTTGCCATCACTTTTGCAGAAGAAAACATCAATTCGAATGGAGCAGTTTGCAGAGAGTAAGTTTGCATAAGTCAAATACTTACACCATATTGTAGTTTCCAAATTCCAATACTTTATTACTAATTTGCTGTGTCTTATTACTAATTATTTCCTGTAAAAGATTTCAGTCCCGGCACTTCTTCAGAGTGTCGTGGATGGAGACCTTTCTTCAAAAATTGTTCTGGACCGAAAGGGAATCGAACCACACATCTTCACGTCCGGACACAATCTGTACCCACTATGCTACCGGTTCTTGCGCTCCAGGTTCAGTCTGGCGGCACATCTGCTATCTGTCTACCTTTCAATACACCTTTCCCCTCTTCTTTGTGGCAGCTTCTTGAGCGGCTTTTCACGGGTTTTCCGCGACACGGAGTGTTCTGCTTATTGAAAGGCCTGACATAACTGCGACCGGCCTATAGGAACACTCAAGTAAAGTCCACTTTCACGGATCCTCATCTGCATTGTCCGGGCAACTCTAGTTTTATTGGCTGTTAGTTCGTC